GACCTCCAAGCACATGTAAAATTAAGAGTAGAAAAAGACTCATCCCGATTGTCAACTGTCATACCAAATGCAAGAAGACATGCCACTTGCACTCCTGCTCTCCTTAACTCTTCTGACACTGTGTAATATCCCCCCACAGACCAAACCTTTGAGAATAATTCATGAAGCAGACCTTTAATACGTGAAATTTTGGCTTGCCTAAAAACAATAAATCCAATAAACAACAGGTTGGCTGGGACTATGTGCAGAACATGCTGAGAATTAACATGCAACACATAAAGGAAAATAACAACTTAACTGAATAGTACGGGATCAGGACCCTAAGTGTGGCTAAACATAAGCCATTAAATCTATACTCATTCTGGCTTGACTATCAAAATTGAATTAATTCAGCAGCAGCCTCCACTAGGATTTAACTGCTCAATATATTTTTATTGCTGGGCAATTTGAACAAAATTTTTGATCGGTTCCTACAATCAACATTTGAACATGGTGGGTCATTATTTTTCTGCTGTCAAATGACTTCTTTAAAGCTTCTTAATCAATCTGCAGGGTTTAAGTTGCTGTACAACTTACAGAGTCAGCTGTGCAAGTAGCAGGAGCTGGAAAGCAGCTTCCAAAGATACGTGGTTGGCATCACCACTTCCGTGGAACTCCTTGCCAGTAGCAAATTCGGGTTAATTGCAGCAGGGTGAATTGTTAGGTGCCCTCTGCTAGCAGATGGCTCCTTTCATTAGCCTGGGGCACTTCAAAAGCCCCGTCCTTCCTGAGACTTCTCTGCTGATAATACCTCCCCAAGAAGAGCACTGGCAGTTAAATTGTTTACTCCTGCTTGAGACTGTGAAAAATTACTGATATGCCTTCTCAGGGTCACCTCAGTTGCCAGAAAAATTTTGATAATTAGAGACAAGACTCTTTGTCCTTCTCCATTACCCTGACAAATGCAGATAAGCTATGTTAAAATGACTGTATCTTGTCTTCTCCAGTGAAGCAGCACCCCATCATAGCAGCTCTGCATGTGGCATGCTCTCTGCTACAGCAGCAGTCAGTACCTGCAAAAGGTGGGAGACTGTCCTCAAGGAATGGAGGTAACTAATGAGGGGAACATAACAGGGCACCTAGGTATCTTTATTAATGAGCCCTCATTCTGTCCCGGTTAGAAGGCAGAACTGTGTCCCACCTCCCTTATCCCTCAGTTTCCCAGATAGAGAGGTAAATAAGGCAGGAAGGGGTAATGAAAACCTTGCGCCAAATTGAAAATTAACAAAATGAAATATATTATTTAACAGGGATCAGACAGGAAGAAGGGCACGGGTTTAACAGGGTACAGAAAGGAAGAAGGGTAGGGCTTTAACAGGGAAGGGGGGTTGTAGGAACAACAAGGTAAGGAAGATTAAACTTCCAAATATACAAAACCCAAATGCTATGCTGAGGCTCCCCGGTGCTGGATCTCGCTGGCTTGAGGTGGATTGAAGCTGGATGCACAATCCTTGGATGTGGATGGAGGCAGGGAAGAGTCTGTAGATCAGGCCCAGGTCTCCAAGAGGGCCACGGCCACGTGTAGCACAGGGAGCAGCAGAGCAGCGTGTCCCCAGGTACAAGGTCAAAGGAGCAAGAGGAAGAAGAGAAGAAGAGGAAGAGAGGAGGCGTGCCTTTCTCCCCTTTTTATAGACCTTGGCAGGAAGTCCCGAAGACAGGAAAAGGGGAGTGGGAATAGGACAGGTGTACGCCCCTTTCATTCAGGCTTGTACCTGGTTTAGGGTTTCAGATCTCCACCCACCAGGGGCAGCAGGTTTCAAACCATTACAGCCCTATAAACAGCAGATCTACAAGTGGGTTCATTCTCTCACTATACCAGTTTCTGTAATTCTGATTACTGCAGCAGCTGGGCATTTAATGATGCACAAATGAGAACAAAACTAAACCACAGGAGAACGAAGTGCTGCAAGTTGCCCTGTCAGTCACTGGGTATCGCCTGCCTTTTAGCACAGGAAACACCAAAGCTGGGGCCACTGAGTCAGGAAAACTGCTCTGAACAAAAGGCTGGTTGTCTCCACAGTGGAGCTCGCAAAAGCATCTGCATGAGATGCCAAGTCTCCAGAGGACATGGTCTGAGCAGGCAGGGAGGCTGGATGTGCCAAATCACTGTGCCTGTGAGGAAAGGGAAAGTGGTAAGGGAAGACAGAGAAGAGTGAAAAGCAGCAATATTGCAGAGTGATTCATGCTGGGACCCAAGGGAGGACAATGCCTTGCACTTCAGACAGAAGCATGAATGTAAGAGATGGAAGATACATGTTCTTAACCTCTTCTGGTGTCCCTACCTGATTCATTTTTCTAGGATATTCCACTTTCAAGAATACACCAAAACTTCCATCTGTGGATGACCATGGCCAGAAAAAAAAAAAAAAAAAAAAAAAGAAAAAAACATTCTCTCTCTGTCCAATCAAGGCAAACAATACTACCATATTAAATAACACTACACTATTAGAACAGTAACTGCAAAGTACCAGTTCCAAAGAAAACTTAGAAAATGGAATGGATGGCTCTGCAAGGAGCAGAGGCCGGCAGGCAGCATGTCCTGCCACGCTCCTGCTCCCACAGAGGAAGTTAATGAGGACAAGTTTCCAAAGCCTACTTCTGCATTCCCATTTTAGGTTACTGCTGGGGGTGGAGAGCATGGACAGACTGGTCGTACAATCCCATAAGCTGACTTCCCCTCAGAAGTACAGTGTGACAGCAGATGCTTGGAGTATTCAAAGAAGGCTACAAAGGTTTTCACATTAGGCAGAGGTTTTTAAACCTGGTCTCCCCCTTAGGCAAATTTCACTTTCCTTATGCTTGAACTTCTCAAGGCAGAACAGACTGATAAAAATTATGTTCTTCATCGTCTGATCTGCAGTTGGTCTTTCAGGTGCCACAGCTGCCAACTTAAATGTCTGCAACTACATCTGGGAGAGATTTTCATCCACAAGTGAATTTTTAGGATACAACGTCTCACAATTACTCAGTTCACTATGCTGTTAAATAATCTGTAAAGAGCATCAAAAAACTCTTCAGTGTGCTGTGTGACTAAAGGAAGCAGTTTATCTCACTTTACGCTACATTTATGCATTCTGCCAATCCCTCCAGCACACCATGAACGGAGCTCTGAGTCATGGGATCTTCTGGCAGCAGCCCTGGCAGAATCAAAGGCACTTTCGGTAATTAAAGGTAACTCACTTTAGCTACTTATGGTTAAAGGTCTCTCCAGTCAAATGGAGAGTAACATAGATAGTAGATTTACCATATCTACAAAGTCGAAGCAAAGATATTCTCAGTGTCATTCCAAGCACATAATATTCATTAGTAAATGTAATAAAGTTTTGCATGTAATCCATTTAGTGATGGCTTCTAGTTCAGTGAATTACATACTTATTGTTTGTTTTCATTGTAATACCCAGAAACCCGTTTATTTGTTCAAATGCTGCTATTTACTCTTGAAGGTTTTGGTTTTTAAATGGCTGTAAGCAAATATGAGATATCATCACTGAGATTAATAATAAAAAAAAAAAAAAAAGAAATGGTCCAGTGAGCTGAAATGCAAGGAATATTTTACTGTGGAAATTTCAGATTTAGCAGCTTTCATCATAATGAATTCACATCTGAATATGGAAACTGATTCGTTCTTACATTGAATCTCTTTTTAAAAGCCTTAGTATGTACTAGAATACAGAAAGGTGCAGCAGGTATTTTGAAAGAGCATGGATGTGCAGTCTCTTGAAACACTCCAGCTGGGAGGACCCTGGTATGCCCTCGGGGAGCCGTCCCCATTCAGTCCCATCCACACACACTGCCCAGTCCCACCCCAGTGCAGGACACCCGTACAAAGGCTTGTGTAGCAACACACCAGGAGTCTCCTTCAGCTACATGCTTGCCCTCACTTCTCCTCTCCTCCCCCTTGCTGCCAGCCGGGAAGGAGCTGGAGCCCTAATTCATGATCAGCATTGGCTCTCCATGTCTGCCCTCTTCCCACGTCAGCACAGCTCCCACGTGTAACCCTTGTCTTGCAGTGATTGTCCCCAGGACAGACCCCTGGAGCCCCCCTTACAGGGAAGAAGCAGGACAGAGCTACAGTGAGAGAAAGGCCACCCATTGAATTTGCCCTCAGGAAGCCACATCTCCAGCTTAAGAGAACACAAATAGCTACTATTCAGCACGAGACTGGTTCTACAACAAATAGGTCTATTATAAACAGGCAAAACAGACTCTGGATGGTTTTCATGCAGTGCCAACAGTTCTTCCTCTGCATTGTTCTGCCTCTGAGGATGATTTCTGCCTCAACGCTAGTGCTGACCACTCAGTCCCACCATCTGCTAGGCCTTTCCCAATCCCACACAAGCTACTGAGGAGTCTGCACTAGGCTCTTTCCTACTCACTGCTGGCAAACCAGAAACCACAGCAGGGTAATGGAGTGATTAACCTGGAGGTCCCCCATTTCTCAGACTTCTCATGACTATGGCTGGATAGATGGCACATCCCTCTCTTTCCAAAGTCAGATCAGATAATTTATTTTCTGTAAAGCCAGTTCACTATGAGTGACAACACTGCTGTCTTGTGGAGACCGTTTGCAGGTGTTACTCTAGGCTAGAATACAGACGAATGAAAATCCCAGTGTGAAGGTTAACATGGAAATTCTCCTGAGAGACTAATATAAAACAGTGTGCATTTTCTCTACCAGGCTTCTTAAAACACATCATGCACACAGATGCCATTCTTTTCTGCTCAGAGACACTGTAACTGTGACCAGTGAGCACACTAGGCAGAAAGAGCATTCCCAGTGGCATAAAAGATGAAGGGTTTGCTTCTAGAGTAGTATCTCTGGAGACACAACATCTCCATTTTATGACAACCACTAGCCTCCTGTAGTCCCAGCTGATGTTAGGCAAGGCTAACTAATATTTGAAGCTAAGCTGAAGGCAAGTACATCCAAACCGCTGGCATTTCAAAAGAGATCACAGTACCTAAAATAGCCACCACCTCGTCGTCCTGGATGACTTCTAGGGATCCTGAGACCACGAAGCAAAGCGCATCGACGCTTTCCCCAGCGTGGTAGATGAGGTCCCCCGGGGCACAATGGATGGTCTGGAACTCCACGGCCAGGGCTCGCAGGCAGCCGTCGCTGGCCAGCCGGAAGGCAGGGTGCTCGTTGAACACCTTCCGGTTCAGGTGCACGCAGATGTCCGCCCTCATGTCCTTCGGGCAAATGGAGAGAACCTGAGCAAGGGAAGGATGGAAAATTATCAGCTGGGAACGTGGCACGGGACCAGCGCCTGCTTTATGAAAGAGCTGAATGGGTGAATCTGAAGATCCGTCTGGGTGGCTCTCTAGATCAATCCATCCAGTTGTTTCATGAAGCTTCTGGGAGGAGTTTTAGCTTGAATTGGGGTAGTCTTTTTGTACCAAATCTACTGCCTTTGTTACAGCTGAAAGGGTGATGTAGAAGAAGGGGCTATTCTGTTACACCATTCTCATTCACAACAGTTTTCACATTGATTTTCCAAAATTGCAGGTGGCACTACTATGTCCTGTTTGTGGATATCCCTCTAGACTTGGTGCCCAGACCAGCCACCCACTGCTACACTCAATCCCTGCAGGAGCACAGAATAGACACTCAGAGCTGAAGGAGCTTGAAGACATACAAAGAGAAACCATTCACAATAGAGAACACCACATTTTGCTCACATTCAGAAAATCCAATCTTCAAAAGTCTTGAGGTCGATGACCACTTACCGACATGTATCCAAACACACCTAGGGTTTCATTTCAGTGCTGTACAGATACACAGTAAGTAACCTGCCCTGAAGGGCTTACAGACTACAAAATCCAAAGAGTTTGAGATTAGAGCAAAAAGAAAGTATTATGAAACCTTATGAAATGTAAAGATGAGTGAAATACTGCCTTGTGAACATGAAGATGTCTTCATAGTGAATCAATTAAATAAGACCTTCAATGAATCTCTTACCTTAAATAGCTTTCCCTATTGACAAAGTAACACAAATATACCTGAAGGAAGAAAGTGAAGTCCTGTGGGTCTTGATAGGTTTGTAAACTGTGTGTTTGATATTTGTATGTACTCCTAAACACACTAATGTCCTCGTCCCCCTAAAACGCGTGGTAGCTAATTGCACTGAGAAGCTTATAAAACCTTCTACAGCTTTCCTAGGGTAAATAATAGAAAAAAGCATGAGATTAAGAGCATTCTGGAAGTCTCGTATAAAGAAGACTGCAGAGCAATAGTACTGATTAATTTCTCATTGTATGGAATTAATCTGGGCAGCTTGGACATTGGGTCAATGTGTTGACTACCATTAAATGCTAGCAAACAGAGGGAAACTCTGGTAACCCTGATTAAGCTTTGAGGCAAATGGTCATGTTAATATTGAAGTAAAGTCACGATTTTCATTTCTGTTTAATGCAGAAGAGGTATAAAACGTATTATTATAATGTATTACTAATGGTCCTAAAGCATAGCAGGGGAAAACAGTAAACAATTTCTAGTTTAATAATAACATTTAGTGCCTTTCTTATTTCCATAGATCAAAGTTCCTTTGCAGTCAAAAATATAATGAATGCAGAAAGTTGAAGTTATTCTCCTATCCTCTGTACTACAACAGTCTGACGCTTGAAGGGGTTACTGCAACCACCTGCACTAATCTCTTGCACTCATAATTTTCATATCAATCCCAGAATATATGGTAAAATTACAGCCCAGAAAGCCTTGATTTAATGTTTTCAATGACACAGGGTAGTTTTTCCAATGGGCAGCCACTCCCTCTTTTAAAACATCTGCTGTTTCTGAACTGATACTTTTATTTTCAGCCAACAGTAGATCTCATCATGTTGCTCAGTTAAAAAACCTGCAATCACTGGAAATCTCTTCCACGTGTAGGTGTTTATGGACTATGACTAAGTCACCTCTCAATCTCATCTTGAATAAAAAACAGAGATGATGATTCTTGTGCCCAGCCCTGAAGTACTGCATCTCTTTGGAAACCTCCCCATAGCATGAGGTTTACTCACTCACAATCACCTTCCCAGATCTACCAGATAATTAGGTTTTATTTGATTTAACAGAGAATAAGTCAATTTGGCTTAATGCTATTTTTCTGTAATAAAATGATATGCAGAACATTAAAATACCCTGCGTCTGTTTTATCATAAGCATTAATAATAAGTACATTTGACAAGACATATATTCCATAAACCATCATTTTCATTAGTAATAAAGTCTTGTCTGAGTCACTGTTGACCATATCCTGTATCATATTTCCATAATTTCATTTAGGGACAAATGTCCATTCTACAAACTTATACTTACCTGAGTCATTCCACTTACCATTAGAAATATGGGCACACCTTAGTTAAAAAAAAACAAATTACTTTTGAGAGTGATTTTTACACCTCAGCCCTACTTCTGGATCAAACAGAAAGCTCGTTTTTATTCTAATAAAATAGAAACATGCCATCTTTCTTCTGGTCAATAGTAATTTAATGAAAAATTATGCCTTCATTTTGTATCACTAGTGATGATTTTTAACATTTTAATCTATTCTTGGGCCTAAAAGTTGTTTAGAATTTTTTTACACCCTTTTAATACTTTCAGTAGTATAAATCTTTTTGACTTAACAAGGCCACGATCTATGAATTCTCAAACACTGCTCTTAAGCAAAGTGTGTGTATTCACACATGACTGATTTCCAAATTTTATCTTTTAAAGAAAGCTTCCAAACTGCATGACAGATTGGTTAAACTATTGCAGAAGTTGTTACTGTAAGATTTGGAGATGTTCTGGGACCCTTTGGTTTTTTTTAGTGTAAATTATTTGTGTCCCTTGAGAATAAAAGCCACTTGGATGCAAAGAGGCACATTGTTTCCTCACAAATACAGAGTTAAATACAGAGTATTAAAAGTGAGCACTCAAAGCATTACTCCTTTTATAGACAAAACAAACATATCATCACACACTGAAATAAGAAGAGACAGAAAAAAAAATTCCATTGCACAGAGAAAGCCAGTCTTAGAAAGCATAATTCAGGAATTTTCTGATGTCATGATAAAGTGATTCTCTAATGACATATTACTATATGGAGATATATGGAGATAACACTTATCAACTCATGCAGCAGTAAATGAGTAATGATCCAAGAGTAAGCCAGGAACCAGTGTTCTTTATTTCAGTTTTCTTGTCTGCAAAACTGCAAGTACTAAGGACAGAGAATGAAGCAGATGACAACTAAAAGAAAGACTTCATTTTAAAAGATTTGGCAAAGGAGCTTTGACTGATAAAGATAAATGTAGACATACACAGTGGAAAAAAGAGCAAAGACAGACAATATTCATCTACGTGTTTACTGTATGCTCCAAGCACACGACTTCCTGAGCTCCAGCTTAATTTTGCAGGACATCCTTTTGTGTTCACAAAGACCAACATCATGAATTCAGAAGTCTCACACATGCCACCAGCTTCTCTATTAACTGTACTGTAGAAAGGGGTTGTTGGTGACACAGATCACACTATCTAGTAATATTCCTGCTTCCAAAGAAGACACATAATGTGATACAGGATCACACAGGAGCATTTGGAAGATAATGATAAATAGTTCAAAGATCCTAAGAGCAGAAAATGAGAGAACGAGGACTTCAAATTCAGATAAATATTCTCCTGAAAACGATCCTTTATTGATAATACAAGATTTTGACATTCTTATGGTGAAATGCTCTTCCTGAGATACTAGCATTTTTAAGGCAGTATGCAACTAAAAAGACACAAACTATAAGCCACATGGTAGTTCCTATGATGGTACAAACATACACATGGGTGTAAAAGAGAAATTCAGTTTAAGGGAAAGGACATCCTGTAACACTCAATCTCTTCTTTCACTGTTAGGGAAATGCCTCCAACATTTCATGTTAGTAGAACCAAAATTCAGCTGGGACATTTGTTCTAGCTTGTGTATTCTTTCAACAGCATATCAAAAACCACTGAGACAAAATTCTGAAGAGAAAATTTCCTTAGAGATTTCAAGACCTTTCTCAGTGAAACCTGTAGTTTCTAAGGCAGGCAGAATATTAGGGCTGCTGACTGCAATGCTTCACTAACTGATCATTTTGGAGCAGAGGACTTGGAGCAGGCAGTCTGCAGGGACCAGATCCTTATGCTGCTACAGAAGTTGCTCTATCATAAATCTGTAGCCGCAGACCTTGCAGTCAGCTTTCCCATATGCATCCAAGTAGCATGAAAGAACAGAAACTGTTACATTTCAATGCAAAATCAGAAGAGAAAGTCAAATTCTACCCAGAGGGAAATCTTTGCTGGATGTATAGGCTGTGTTTCTACCAGAAAAGGAGCAAAGCTCCATGCCACACATGAACATGTATCCACAAAGACTTGAACCACTACAAAGGTGAGAGAAGAAAAAGTAAAGCAAAGAATAACATTTAACACTTCCCTCTTCTGCATAGAAAATTAAACCTCTTCAATGTTACTGTGAGACAATTGCTGAGCTCTACCATCATCACTTGGCACCCAGCTGATACATACCCCAACACACCAACACCTAATGCAGAGATTCAACCCTGAGGTCATCTCTGGAGCACCCTGTGGCATATGTAAAATGCTGGTGGTGAGTGGAAAGTTTGTGTTTGCTGCTAGACCCTGCAAAAGGCAGTAAGCAGCTCTGGAAGACACAGAGGGAATCGACACAAAATGTCTCACTATCTTTCCAGTTTGAGGTCTGTAAGGGGGCAATAAAATTCCCAAGGAGGTTCCATTTTAGTTTTTCCCTCTCCCGTTGGTTTTCTCAACATGCTCAGGCAGTTTAAGATAAGCCCCTTAAACAGCTCAAAGAACTCTACAGGGAGCACAGTTTGTAGAGAACTCAAAGAAAAGCAAATGAATCGAAACAAAAAGTGTATAGATTAAGAGTGTGTCCAAACAATATCTTTTAGGATGGGTTTAAGTATTTAAAAAAATAAACAACTTCCCCAGCCTGAGGATGGCTTAGCAAATATTACAGAATATGTTAAGCCTTGTTAACAAAAAGGGCAGAGGCTAGTGATTCCTGAATGCTATCTACTTGTAATTCTCTTTCAGCACACAGGATCCTCACTTTCTCAAGGTTGGAACTCAGGGATATATTGACTGATATTCAAGCAAAGAGCTTAAGCAGTTCCAGCAGTGCTGTATCAAGTAACATTTCCTAAATGAATAACCA